GGCTGACCTAATTAGTTGCAACTAGTAGCTGTAGCGTCTGATACATCGCCGTAACGCACGCATCGACCTGCGGAATCCCGAAACTGGAGCGAGGCTCCACGCACGAAGCACACGCCGCTTTTTCTCTTCGCGAGCAGATCAAGATCATGGCAGATTATAAATCAGGGGATTGCTCTCATACGAGGACTCAATCGCAACAAACACGGCTACCCGCCAGAGTTCAGCAGCGGGTTGGTATTGCATTTATCTGCGAAGGTGAGTGTTGTTGGCCGACCGAGGTCTTACGGAGTTTGTATTGCTAACCTTCTGTTTCTGTAGTTTAATGCAGAGTTGATATTCATGTTCATGTGGTTCTGGTTTCAGGCCCGACCCTGATGGGGGGCAGGGGCGGCCGCCCCTGGCCCCCAAAGTGGAGGGGCCCCCGCGAGCTCTGGATTAGGCCTTAATTAGCTGCATAAAAATGCTATTGGGCCTGACCTAATTAGTTGCAACTAGTAGCTGATCTCAGAGAACATGGTTCTGGTTTCTGATCAAGGCTGCTATTTTCAGACGAACTGAACATTGACGGCAACAACGGGCTAAAAATATGTCTTATTTACTCATTTGCACAATTAGGTATGATGACTGCCTTTGATTTAAGTTTTGATGATATGAAGGGATTTAATATTTGAACCAACGAAGGAATGTTTTTCACATCACTCATTATTTACTTATCTGTCTTAATTTGTGAGATAATCATACTCGGAGTAACAACCTTACAATTAACATTAGTTACTGTAGAAACTAAACAGTACTTTTCTTTTGAGGAACTAAACAATACTTTTCAACTTTGCGTTTTTATGCAAATTTCTGTTCAGACTATCTATGGACTTGCCTTCACCTATCTATCTAATCTTCTGGCACCTGAACCTATAATTTACTCTAATACTTATAGTAAAGCTTGACATTAAATACCACCTTCTATATTTTCAAAGAAACCTTGCGATAGTGTTAAGGGCCCCGTGTTTTAGTTTCGCCCCGGCCCCCCTAACTCTCTGGACCGGCCCTGAAGCCAAGTTGCTGCTGCTGTTGTTTTTGCTTTTGTTGTTGTCTTTCATTTTCTCGATGAAGATGAGCTAGTTGTGTGCTCAACTGCTCATCTTGAGCTTTGTAACCTCCTTCATATGAATGAAATGCAACGCTCAATGCTTTTCGTCAAAAAAAAAAAAACTCTGTGCCCACACTTTCAGCGATACTCTATCTTGATGGCGTCTCGCACGGTTGCTCCATAGCAGCAGAATTTGTGCCGTACGCTCGCGAAGTGCTCTTGCTGTCCATATCTTGGCGTTGAAGATCCTACCATTCCGACCTTGCCAAAGGGCAACAACACATGCCGCGAACCCAAACCATTGGCATCCTTAAATGCTCCCCCACACCACACTGCAAAGCAAACTGCAAGCTAGGGACATCGTTCTTGATGGCTCAGCGACACGAGAGCGATGGAGAGGCGGAGGTTGGAGCTTTCAGGGAGGGCACGAGGAGAGAGTGACATGTGGGCCCCACCTTATCCCGATTCTCTAGTTCGTGCTGTACGCCCGCACCACCTCCTTGCGAAGTTGCGGCGACACATTTTTTGGATTGATCTTGATCAGCTCTGCAGAATTTTGCCTGCGTGCACCGTCGGTTCGGCCAACCAACCTGGGCCTGCCACGTCTATTCGCGCCCCCTCCGGGGTCGGAAGGTCAAAAAGCGGCGAAGGGTTCCAACTTGCGCCGGCAGGGTGGGCCGGTGGGGCCGTCAGCCCCACGCGGCGCCAACACGTAGAGATCCGGCGTGGCGCGTGCGTGCGTCTCCATCTCTGCCCCTCAGCTCGGGCCGACAAAAAGGCAACGCGGAGTGGGAGGAGCAGGAGAGCTCGAGGGAAGAAGAAGAAGAGGAGGAGGAAGAAGGCCCCCTCAAACCCAAAAGCGTCGCCCAGCTTCCGTCGGCCGGAGGGAGGTAAGGGATGAATAATCTCTGTCTTCTGAGCTGTGCTCTGCTCTTTGCTTGCTTCGTGCGAATGCCCGGAGCTGCCACAGTTGCCTTTCGAATTCTGTAGCTGCATCACGAGTAGGAGTAGATGGTCCTGCTGTATGCTAATAGCAGAGGGGAATGCTTCCCCTGCTCGTCTCACTTTGCTCTTCACGACCCATCTCATCTCCACCACTTTGCTTCTCGGTTTCATCCCTGGGTTGCAGATTAACCTAGCTGTAGAGATCCGATCTGAACCAGTAGCAGTGCGACTTTGTCCACAAAGAAAGCGACAGAATAGGTAACAGGAATTGGCCCTTATTTTTTTATAGGAGTAGGAGTGTTAGATAAGAGAAGAATTCTGTGCCTAAATGCCTAGAAAGTCAAAAAGATCAGGAATTCAATACAACAGCCAAGGAATTGGTCCTTAAATTTGACCAAATTTATTTTGCCTGCCTCTCGTTGACATGCAGTCGAATAATTTGATGCTTTGAGTGATGGTGGTGGGAAATTCCCGTGTCAGCTAGGACACGTATAATTCACACAAGCTGAGAGGAATAAAGTTTCCCGGTGGTTCATGCAATTCAGTGCATATCCACCGTCTTGCCTTATTCTTTACCTGATATTTAATGAGCTTCTAAACTTCTTCCTCGCATATCTGTAAAACCATACTGTAACGTGTGCCATTCTCTGAATCATAAGGTTTCAATTGCGACGTCAATTCACAACAAATCCAGCATAAGCCAATGTCTGACAACAGTATTCAGCGAGCATTGCTATCTGATAACCCCGATGCCAATGTGCTCCAAAGAAAGCCGTCGCAAGGAGCCAAGCGGTTCCGGAGATGCAGGTCGGCTCCCAGATCAGAGACCGATGAAAAACCACAAGAAAATGGCTTGTCGCTTCCAGCCAAGGAGTTGTTCAGCGTGGTGCGGCCGAGCTTCAGACTAGTAGGGTTCCTCCTATTTCTCTACCTGCTAGCGGGCGTCGTCATCTTTTACCTTGTCATGGATCAGTTATCTGGCAAGAGAACCAACAGAGTGCTTGACGCACTGTACTTCTGCATTGTCACGATGACATCGGTTGGCTATGGAGACCTTGTTCCTAACACAGACACGACGAAGCTGCTCGCCTGTGTTTTCGTCTTCACGGGCATGGCGATCATTGCTCTCTTCGTGAGCAAGTCAGCAGATTACCTCGTCGAGAAGCAGGAGGTGTTGTTCTTCAAGGCACTGCACATGAATATGAAGTGTGGCGAGGCCAAAATGCTCAGGCAAATTGAGACAAACAAGACAAAGTACAAATTCTACACAGCCGCTCTGCTTCTTGTGACGGCCATTGTTGTGGGGACTGTTTTTCTCTGGAAGGTTGAGAAGTTGAGCCTTGTTGACTCCTTTTATTGTGTCTGTGCCACAATCACTACCCTGGGTTATGGGGATAAAAGCTTCTCGTCCCAATTGGGGCGCACTTTCGCGGTATTTTGGATAATTACGAGCACCATAATTCTGGCGCTGTTCTTCATGTACCTTGCTGAGATCTACACCGAGCGGCGGCAGAAAATGCTGGCCAAATGGGTTCTCACACGGAGAGTAACAACCATGGATCTTGAAGCGGCTGATCTGGATAGTGATCGAAAAGTGGGGTAAGCACATAATGCGTTTTCAGTATTCTTCCCTCCATCATATCCCTTGAGATTTTGCAGGTAATGAGCAATTGATGTTGATTTTGTGAACTTTGATATGTGCAGTGCTGCTGAATTTGTCGTGTACAAGCTCAAAGAACTGGGGAAGATCAGCCAAGAGGACATATCTTCTTTTCTAGAGGAGTTTGACAAACTCGACGTTGACCAGTCCGGCACGCTCTCCACATATGACCTTACTCAGGCACAATCCGGTCAGTGACGAACATATGGGCTTGTACCTAATTCTACAGCTTAAATACTTTGGTTGAATAGTCGGTTAATGCTGTTAATTAATTCTGTAATCTAGTAAAGTGTTAAAAGATACGACCTCGTTGAGCTCCTACATGTATTTAACACAATGGATCTGCTCATATGCACCTGGACATGTGTAAGAAAGAAGTATTTGGTGATGCTTCGCTAAGCTTAAGTACCTGTGTACATGAAGTCTGTTAAACTATTTTCCAGCCATGAAATATTTCCAGCTTCCAATATGGTAGCCTGTGTAGATGTATTTCTTGGATTTGTTTCTCCTGGCTCCAGAATTGCAAGGCAAGCAACAACCTATCTAATGATGCTCGGCAAGTGGAGGCTGAGATCTCAGGTAAATATGATTTTGCTTCCATGAGATGGTGACCTGGTAGAACTAAGAGGACATCCAGAGTTTCTATTCAGGCATTCACTTCTAACAGGTTGCCTTTACACATTAATAACACAATAAACCCAAACTAATCTACGCACCACAAGAAGCATTATGAGTAGCAATGCAGTAATGGAAGGTATACAGCAATTGCAGTCAAACTCTTGTTGTGAATACCAAGGTGATTGTTTGACGTATGATCAGACAAGCAACTACAAGTGGTGTAACCAAAACAAAAGGAGACTCTTAGCCTAGCACAATTCTGCATAGATACAGGTCTATGCAATCCTATATATACCTCCCTAGCCTGATCTGTTGGGGGATGTACTCTTGCGACAGAAACGAAATGGAACTTGCTGACAATGCTTCAATCTCAAACTTGACACCCATTTCCAGCATGGCTTCCAACTTCAACCTGCCAAGGATTATATAGTCGTGAATATTTCAGGAGGAAAAATCTTCAGGAAAAAGAACCGGCTATTAACTACATAAATGATTCTAATTTTAAACACAAACCCGTTGACATTAGAACTGACCAGGTGAAAGCAGTCATAGACCTTTTGGAACAATGGAGCACCTACTGCTGTTAGAGTCGACAAGGTGGCGCAGATATGGAGTTTTTGAAACTAAGGAACTGATGCTGAAAGCACTTACATATTACGGACACGGGATAAAATCATAAGACTGTGTACTGGAAGAAGGTTTCACTCGTATCAGTGAATTTTGTTGTTGCATTTGGCATTTTGTAAGAAGAAAATATGAAAAGCTCTATTTAACTACTAGTTGATTAAACAAATCAAATAACAAATTCTTGTAGTTGGACTTGAACTATTATTATTTGCAACCCACATCATATCCCTGAAGTGCTTGGAATACAGGGGCTAAATAATAGGATTGATCATTGTGCTTGGAAGAAGATTTCACTTACATCACTGAGTTTAACTGTTGCATTTGCCATTTTGTAAGAAAGATATTGTGAGAACTTCTATTTAATTCTAGATGCACTAACTATTCTTGCAACCCACATCATAGCCATAAAGTTATTGGAATACGTGTAATAGGAAATACAACTTCCTGTTCCTTTACCTCCATTCTGGGGCTTCCTTGTGCAAGTAACATCTGGTTAGAATTCCTTCAAGCTTCCTCCTATCTGAAGCAGGATGCATGTCATTTGATATTAAACAACAAATCAAGTTCCAAGATAAGTAGAAATGAAATTTATATCCCTCCAATTTAGTGACCTTCAGATGACAATTGAAGCTGACAGCAGTCTGGAAGACAATACTCCTCAAAGTCAGATGTGAAGACCCCAAGCCATCGTATCTCAGGCACACGCAGAACATTTGCATCATATGCCAATTGCTTAAATAGAATGAGAATTGGACAAGGGAGCAGGAAGTGTTTGTCAGTTAACACTCGAAACATATCAACAAAATGGGACTAAATTTTGAATAAATGTACAAAATCACATTTCACTTGGCTTAACAAAAAAATTGAAATTGCACTGATAAATTTACACTGCCTTTGATGCTATTAGGACTTCAATAAATAACTAGATATTAGATAGATATTTTGGCCCTACCATGGAACCAAATTTATAGGTAGCCAGAATATCAAAACCATACGGATCTGAATCCACTAAGCAATAAGCAGGCAAGTGCAGCTGTTCGACAAGGTAGCGCAAGAATCTGCAACATTACAAGGAATGTACGTTTCAAATAGCAATTCAGTTTTAATATACAGGAGAAACAAATATACGAAAGAGCACATGCCTTCTTGTTGGAATATCTGGGTAGCCTCTTCCCTGAGTAAACAGAAGAAAACCATCAAACATGCTATGTGAAAAATAATGGCAGTATAACACTAGATGCAGCGTTAGCAGTTACTGTAATAACAATGCAGCGATTCTTTTCGCAGAACTTGTCATTGGCCAAACGCTGGAACACTGCAAATGGCATACAGAATCAAACTGCAGGAAGACTGCAAGGAATAGAAAAATCATATGCAGATAGGGGGTCTTTAATCCTCACACCTGCCTCCTTCTCAACAACAAGGATGTAGTGAGCAACACTAACAACATCTGCAAGAAAAAACTTAGACAGCTTAAGTTTACTGCATAGTAATTGAGAATATGAAAGAAATATAGTGTATGTATAAAAAGACAGCAAACCTATGCCATATAGTTTGTGGAATAACAAGGATACTCCTCTCCATATATGTTTGAGACAAAAAATAAAGATGAATTCTCATTACTCTTTCACATGATGTCCAAAATTTGGTGCTTTGTCGAAATCCCACTTTCTGATACATCAATCACTATCTATTACAAATTTAAACTGAACATTGACTTGCTAAGAGATGTTAAAACTGATTTTCCTAAGGAAACAGATATGAAATAATAAAAGTCTATGAATGGCAAAGATTATTATGAGTTTTCAAATTGTTAAACAACCTTTGATTGCCTCAATGCTAACTGGAATGGGGAAAGCCTGCATTTGAAGAAGGAAAAAGGCTAGCCAAATTAATGCATAGTACAAACAGATCATATTGAGTAATTAGATAGATTTCGATAGAATCATAGAAGCTTACAGCATTGACGTTTGTTATACAATACACTTTCTTTTCACCCTCCACAAATCTTATCCAGCCCATCACCAAACTGGAACAATAAAGATATTGACGAGTACATAGCGGGAAAATGTTCAGAAATAACTAAGACCATCGTATGGACACAGGAGATTATGATGCTCTAAATGTCTGCTAAAAGCGCAGCATCACACTGCTTAGCCAGATCATGTTTTAAGTAAAGCAAGACAAGTGGTAGGGAGGATGAAGGAACAAAAATGCTGATTAGTTAAGTAACGGCATGGGACAAGATAGAAGGATTAAACATGTTATCAAAATCAAACACTCACAACTCAATAAGAATCCATACCCTTTTGCCACAGGAACCTGCAAGCAGCCAAGTGAGCAGAAATTGCAGGTGGTTATTAAAAGAGAAGTGAAAAGGCGGTGAAATAAATACAGCAGAAATCACTGAGAGAACTAATGAAAACAGCTCCTAGCGATTCATGGAGAAATGAAGACCTCAAGAAATAATGCATCACAAAAGACAGATTAAGAAAATAATCCTACATCAGATAGGACAGTGGTACACCATAATGGAGGAACAACCAGGGAGTAACAAGTCGCAGTGCGGCACATTGTACTCCATATATAATCTAATAACAGCCAGAGGCTTATTCTCCAATGCACAAATGACTTCTAAACACATAACTGAAGCTTCTGCAAAGATGGCAGACAAGCGGTAGCACATACCACGTTGAGATTATGCCGGCTGCACTTGAAGAGTATGCAGATATCATTGATGGCACGATCAACAATCGCTTGTTCTGCAGTGAGACTTGTAATTGTCACTCACACAGCAAAGAAAGAGAACACCTGAAACTCACACTACGCATAGATGGATCAGACATGGCAACCGCAGACCAGCACAGACCTACGAACATGGAGGGGTACATGTAGTAGATGTCCCTCTTGGAGCAGTGCTTATTCTCCTGCAGGAGTTGCTGCACCACGAGCAGGACCCTGAGAAGCACATCTGCACATCAACGACGCATCCCAAACTGATTAGCATGACCAGTAACAACGAGAGATTGATGAGAATCGAGCCAGTTTGGTCTACGCGAGTCCGTACTGAGTCGGGAGGCGTGGAATTCCTTGCGGAGGAGGGAGAGGACGTCCGTGCCGACGGGGGCGTCGTAGCTGCAGGCGCTGCACGCGCGCCCGCACCCCGCGGACGCGCACACACCGGTAAGGATCTGACAGGTTTGGTGTGCAGAGATTTGAAGGCGAGAGAGGGAGGGGGAGCCAAACCATGTGGACAGGGACGCGGCGGCGGCGGCGGCGGAGGCGCAGGCGCAGTAGTTCTGGTAGCGGTGGAGAGCCAGGGAAGGGGATCGGCCGGCGCTGACCTCCGCGACCACCCAGCCCACCAGCCCTGCGCCGACAGCCCACGCGCGCGGCGGCGCAAACCCGCGTTAACTCCGATTGCAACCCCAATTCGAAGGGGATTACGAGGGTTTACAGTCGATCGAGGAGAGGGAAGGGGATTCGCACCTTTGATCTTGTGGAGGAGCAGGGCCGCCTCCTCCAGCCTCCGCCGCCCCCGCCGCTCGTCGTCGTCGAGCACCGTCGCGCGCCTCCTCTTCCCACTCCCCGCCATGACCGGTCGCTCGGAGAGCAGGAGAGCGCCGTCACAAGTCACAACTGGTCCAGCAACGGCTAGTGTCTAATGGGCTTTGTGAAAGCCTCCTCTGCTACAAGGCCTGTTTAAAACGCATGGTTTATTTATTTTTTTCTTCACACAAGTGTAGTATACTCTGCAAACTGCACTGCAGTATCTGAAAATACAGAAGAACAAGAATCTCAAATCAGACTGAACGTCTGAATTCGCAACCACCTGAGAATTGATCGAAGAACACAAGCACATATTTTAATTTTATTTCATCGCGCACTCGTAGAGTTGCCGTGTTAAAATTACACTAAAAACCTAACAACAGCTAAGCTAGCTAAGCTCCTCCTCAACCATCAAAGATGGGAACAACCCATGTTCCCAGCTACACATATGATACATCAGCTAGGCTCTCCCAAAGGGCTTGCTCTTTGCGCAACCCAATCAATAGCCCTGGTTCACACCTCGAGGACACCCGTCGTCGGGATTCAGAAGTTACTCTTGCTCGTCGAAGGCCTGGACCTCTTGCTATTGAGCTGCGCCACCGGGAACTCTACCAGAACGATGAACGACGAGCTCTCCGCTTCTCGGAGGTACTGTACCGTGCCGCTCATCGTCTTCACCAGCTTCTGGCTTATGTGCAGGCCGAGGCCTTCTCGGGATACCCCTGGGCCGTGGCGGAACATCTCCTGTATCAGTGCCTCCGGGACGCCTGGTGCTGGGTGGACAAGTCTGCATGGATTCATGGGTTAAACAGCTGTTATTTTCAAGGAGATTTGGCCTATCCAGCAAACCGCTTTCAGATTGTTTTCAGTTAAGTGACATTGCATCCCAGAAAACTCATCAGGCAATCTAAACACTACCAAAGAAGAGCAAGGGCAACCTCCTGTCACTTACAAGCTGACCACTATAATTTTTATCTGACCCGGATGGCTCCGGACTTGCACAGTCGCCATCCCAAAAATATTTATGCTGTACACGTAAAGTAAGTGTCTCATGTTCCCTATGTGTTCTTCTGATATATATAGTTAGTTCAATTTATGGCATGCGCGGAGGGACAGAAGTGGGAGGGGCTAACCTGAATTCTAGATGAGCAATCTGCATGCCAGAACCAATGTGTTCCTTCTTGGGAATGACCTGGAGTACAATAGGCCCTTCAGCTGGCCGAGTAAATTGAAGCGTGCATGCCAAGTAGTCTGCTAGGACTTGCTGAAGCCTTAAGTTATCCCCATATAAGTACATTGATGATACTTCTACAGGCCAATCACGATCAAGAGAAATTTGTTTTTCCTTGCTCACAGACATGCCTTGCATTAGGACCGTATTCAGAGCTTCTTCAAGGTTGAATTCCACCGTGTTCATCTCCATGTAGCTGTAAAAAAAGTATTAATTAATATTTAATCTATCATTTTTCTATCATATGTAGAAGTAAATGGAAAAGGCATGCTAAACTGTTGTGTGAATTGATTTTCTAGCACTATAAGCATTTTGTTAATGGTGGAAGTTCTCATGTCTAAGAATTTGCAACCAGTAGTGCATATCATGTGTACTCCATAGATTAAATGCAATTGATAGGGAAAAGAACATGAGATATTAGTAGTTTCAGTTCTGCATCAGCACAGACACAATTTACTGGGGTTAGTGAAAAAAAATAGCTTATCAGCTTTTAGACGATGCTGAAAAAATAGCACTTACCACTGTTCAATGCCTTCTAGATCATTGTCATGTAAAATCTTTTTCAACTGTTCTTGGCAGAGAACATTTGATGCAAAAAGTTGCCTCTGCTCCTCTGTCAAGTCAGACGGTTCCAACAACTTACGGGTAAATTGCATGCCATTGAGTGGGTTCTTTAATTCTTGACGAATATATGTCAATTCCTTAAAGCTGTGTGTAGCAGCTTGTTCAGACATTTTCTGCACCTGAAGAGCATGCTGAAGCTCGGGGCTGGCCACATGCAAAAAGCAAAGAGCGCCGGTGATCTTACCCTCAGCATCTGTCCTCTTGTTTGCTGTCAGCAGTGATTCCATGTACTTGCCATCTGTGTTGAAGAAACCAAAAGCAAGCTTCTCGGGTTCTTGACCAGAGATCACCGTGTTCATCAGTATGCTAAGTTTGGTTAGAGTAACTTGATCTTTTACCCTGCATCCATAATCATGAAGAGTGAAAAGCTCCCCGATTAGCAACTTATCTATTGCATCTTCCCTCTTTATACCAGTAATCTTTTGCATAGCTTCATTCCATTCTAAGCAAGAACCAAGATCATTGATCATAAATATAGGGGGTATGAGCTCATTGGGGTTCTTTACTATTGCAACATAGTCACCCTGTATCCGGGTATACTTATCCATAACCATCTTGTGCCCTGTCAAATCTTGTGCTACGAAACATACCCCAACAACTTTGTCTGAAAGGTCACGACTACAACAGGCGTTAACCATCAAGACTACAGGGCCCTTACTTTCCTGTTGATGCATTGTTTTAAGCTTGATTTCCAAATTCTGCTCTTCGGTTCCTGAAATATAAAGGAGAAATGAAACACAGATGTGTCACCAAAAAATGATGTACATGTTATAACTAAGCTGGAAAGCATAAAAGGACCAGATTCAAGACATAGTGACAACCTTGCAGAGCTGAGTTCAACATTTGCTTAACCACTTCAACAGAATCACCCTCCACGAGATCTACCAGAAGCATCCCTATGGCTTCCGTGGTGGGTAATCCAGTAATTTCTGCAACTTTATTATTCCATCCGTTTATGTTACCAACGATGTCGACAGCCAATATAGGAGCAGTTGCTGTCTCAATTAGGCGCACCATCTCATTTGTCACAATTTTCAGTTCAAGTAGCCCCTGTATCTTCTTGATGTCATCAGATGGAGCTTCAACAATTGACCTTGCATTGTTGTCGTTAGCATCTTCATCTTGCAGGGAGCCACGCAATATTAGCTGGAGAGAATGGATTGCGTCCATTTCAACATCCTCCCAAGGAACACTCCTCCATTTAACTACCTCCAAGAAGGCCCTGAACGAAGAACGTGGATGCATCCTCCTGCCATTGTCATCTGCATCACCTGGTTCATGCTTAGCTCCACCCCACTTGATCTCCTTTGCTGTGTGCGACCGGAACCAGAAGATAAATCCTTTGGAAGAGATCTTTATAGCTGCCATGCCACAGACAACCTCACCGAGCGCAGACGCACCAGGATATCCTGCTTCCAATAAGCTGTCCGTACTTAGCCCAGTAGAGCCATCATGGCACTCCAGCAGCCACGCGACAATCTTCTTTATCTCTCCTTCAGAGGGTGTTGATCCCAGCACCATAATCTGGTTTTGGTAACACAATGCTGCACCATCGCACTTCACCAGATCCATTACATTGGGAGACTGGGTAAATATCCCAACAGGAGCATCCCTGAGGAGCATATCACACAGAAGCGTCTGCGTGCGGAGGATGTGCCTCTCCTTTGCCTGAGAAGCAAGTTCCACCTCCTTGTTGAGCTGTATGCCGAACACTTGCAAGAGAAATTCGCAAGCATACCTGAGAGGGAAGGGGACGAACCTCGGGCTCGTGTGATGGCAAACCACCAGCCCCCACAGCTTCCTGCCTTTCGGCTGCTGGTCACTCCCAGTGTCTCCATCCTCATCGTCGTCCTCGTTTATAGTGATCGACATCACCAGCGACGCGATGGAGCCCATGTTGGCCATGTACTGGGCATGGCAACCATGGGGTGCTCTCATGGTCGAGCCACAGAGGCTGATAGGCTGTGACAGGTTGTCATCCTGAATGAGCTTCACAGGACTTGCAGCACAATCACATATCATCCGCACTTTGTTCTTCATAAACAGAAACCTGGATGCTTGTGGGATGTCAGTTGCCGGGTAGTGCAGGCCAAGATACGGCTCCAAATCAGACCTCCTGCACTCGGCAATGACCTCACCATGCTCGTCCTCATGGAACTTGTATGCCATCACCCTGTCATAGCCAGTGAGCTCGCTTACCTCCCAGACCAGCACATCGCAGAGCAGGGAGAGGTTGCCACTGGGCAGGGACTGCAGCCTGGAGATGGCCTTGGCGGCGAGCTTGTACGACTTGAGCGCGCCGGCGGCGGTGACGGGCACGTCGGCGGGGTTGACCGGTTCGAGGTCGATGACGAGGCCGACGTCGATGCGGTGCAAGATGGCGTAGAAGGGCTTCCCGGAGGTCCTGGCGTGGACGAGGATTGGGTTGAGCAGGTTGACCTCCCCGAAGACGGCGGCCTTGTGCAGGGCGACGGCGCTCTGGGAGCGAAAGAGCGTGCGCACGTCGGCGCCGACGGCGAGCGCGTCGCGCTGGTCGATGGTGGGCACGGCGTGCGGCGTGAGGTCGAGTATCTCGGCGGCGTTCTCGCTGTAGGCGAGCAGCGCGAAGGACTCCGGGTGGATCGCGAGCAGGCAGCCGAAGGGCTGGATGTAGCGGCCCCGCTGCATGTTCTGGAGGTAGGCGGAGACGGCGGAGCTGGTGCTGGCCCCGGAGCGGTTGAGCGCGCTGACCGAGGAGGAATAGTCGAAGTGGCGCTGCGAGCCCTCGAACTCGGCGTGCAGGCGCGCGTCCACGGGCGTCTGCGCCACCACCCGCTCGCTGTGCTTGGAGCGCGCCGAGCTCCCCCGCGAGCACGCCGGCCGGTTGTTGGACCGCGACGACGACATCTCGCCGCCGGTCGCCACCACGACCACCCCCGAGCTAGGCTCCTCGCTCCTGCCCCTCCCCCTACCGCGCGACGGTCAGCAGCGGTGGCGCGGGGGATTCTGCGACGCGGAGGGGCAAATGGGCGGAGGAGGAATCGACGGGAATCATGAGGGGGCGGGGGGAAAGCCGCGACTTTTCTGGAGAAGGACGGGGGAGAGTGGGGGATTGGATTCGCCCGGCGCGGATAAGCACACGCAGTGAGTGAGAAGGGAACAGGAGGGGGCAGCACCCGGGTGGGAGTGGAACAGCGATGTTACCCCCACGCTCCTCCTCCCTGCGCCAAACGGTAGAAGAAGCAAGCAACAGCGATGCGCAACTAACTAACCGCCCGCCCGCTCGATCCGCCGGGGTGGCGCCCGGCGTCGGAGAGCGAAGGGAAGGGGAATAGGCGGTGGGCTTTCACGCGCGGAGGAAGTGGCAGGGCGGCGGCGGGCGGGCGGGTGAGCCAAGAGAGGCGTCGGGAAACCGAGAGGGGAACGGGAAGCCGTACGACGTCACTCCGGCGCGGCTCGTCTTCCCCGCAAGAGCTGACGCGGCAGTAGTGTGCGAGCTCGGCTAATTTGGATGGCGCTTCCCACTTGATCGGAATAATTGAAGAATGGGTTGGCTTGTCGGGGCCATCGCGTAGTAACTAGCGGTAGTACCAGTGCCCAGCAGGCTGTCCATCTTTGGCCGGTGGATTGGACGCGTGTGGCCCAGATCGTCCGCGGGGCTCCCCGATTCCTTTCCCAAAACTGTGTGGTGCGTGATGCTTCGAGCCAACATGCGGCGTGCGTGCTTTGCTTTTCGCACAGAAATGGGGTGGCAAGCGTCGCTGTCAGAAAATGTTGACCGTTCTTTGTGGTTTGTGCTTAAGGATATCTCCAATAGTTTGTATGTTAGCTTGTTGGTAAAATATGTCATGTCATCAACCAACACCTTAACATACAACAACTCCAATGATTTGTATCTAGTTTGCCCAATAGGATGTGAGATAATAAGTGGGGTGTTCTCTCATTCTACATTGAAGCTTGTGCAATGGGTGTTGGTTCATGTACATACAACCTTCCTCTCTTTCCTCATTTATTGTATGACACATCATCAAAAATCCTATGTGACAAACTCTACCAACAACTATCTTACGACCATTGGAGATGCCCTAAGGTGGAGCCTGTATGCACGTAGCGCGGGGCAACGGCAAGGGGACACGGTGGTCATTGCTGCCACGGATGGGAGTGCGATTGGATCGAGCGATGATCACCCGGCTTTGATATTTTTTTTTCGCAAATACGCAAAGGCTTTGCGTATCATTGCATTGATAGGAGGGAAAAAAGATATGACGGTTACAGGGGTAGCCCCACAAGCACGTACGCGAGAGGGCGTGAATGAGAACTTCATGGGCGCATACAAAGAGATGGGGGTGCGCTAGTCGTCCCCGCAGTCGATCACTACGGAGGTAGGAGCAGGTTGTTGAGCCTTTTGCCCATCCGCATGCGTCTTCCACTACTGCAGGATGCTGCTAACGCGACACTATAATCAGAGACCCTTCAAGAAACTGTGTGCGATGTCATAATCGCAAACGGTGTTGTATGAAAACCGTCAGAAATGTGTAAAACGTTTGCGACGACGGATGCATCAAACACGATTCAGGTTTTAGTTGCGTGTGCGATGAAGGGCATACGGTTCAGTTCAATGAACTGTTTGCGATGATGAGGAACAAAAGAAACGGGCATCCAGATGGAGGCGTGTGCGATACACAGCATACGGTTTACTCAGATGAACTGTTTGTGATTAGGCAACACAAAAGAAACGGTCAGCCAGATCAAAGGTGTGTGCGATATACGGCATGCAGTTCACTCGGATGAACTGTTTGCGTTGAGACATGAGAACAAAAACGGTTCAACTCAATACAATGTGTGTGATACGGGACAAACAGGTCTGTAATCAGAAATGTGTCTGAAGGCCGATAAGAACACAGACGGTTGCTGCTAATAAGACGTGTGTGTTGTGCGATGGGATTGCGTACAGAACAACAACATATATATATATATAGACACACACACACACACACACACACACTTATAAGGACATGCTTACATAACCAAATTAAACATCCACTTACATAGGTGGCAACTACAATCACGGCATTTGCACACACCAAAGTAAACTATTACATGCATAATTACATAGGTGGCTACTACACACATGACATTTTCACACACACCAATAAAGTAAACTATATATTACATGCATGATTAACTAGCATAAAGGATCAGTTGATCATCATCTACTTCTTGTGACGCTTGCTCTTCTTGTGGCTCGATCCGGGCTCATCGATTTGGGTAACGAGGCACTTCCTCATGTCAACGATTCGCTTGTGCATCTCGTAGCATGTGTACACGCTCTTGGCCGCGAACCTGAGGTGAGGTTCATCCAGTTGTCGCATCCAGGCCTTGTGCCAGGATACGAGACTTGTTCTTTGGGCATCCTGCTTCATCTTTTCATAGTAGGGGTCGATGATGGCCGAGGCAAGTTCGACCAGGGAGTCCTGCTTCGTGCTGCCCTAGACCCTGTAGTGTTCACGGATTTCGACAAGGTTCTTACAGGCCAAGCCCGTAACACTGAGCGCTTTTACATCGTCTTTGGTATCCACCGTGGCGAACTTGTAGTCGATGATGTTGACAAACCTGTTGAAAGCACAAGTGCTCCCTGGGTGGTTTTGGTAATTAATGTCAACATATCTTTTGTTGGACTAATGTTTTTATCTAGTATATTTCAGATAAATTCAACAGATGGAGTGGCGTGGACAAGAAGATGTGGAACCCCTTTGAAATGCTAAGGACAAAAGATTGGCTCAAGCTCTAAAGCTCAAGACTCTACATTTTGCTTTTAGTGATCCAAGATCACATTGAGTCCATAGGAAAGCCAATACTATTAAAAGGGGGATGAGGTGTTGCTTAATGGCTTGCTTACTCAAAATGCTTAGTGATATGCTCCAAAGCCCTCAACCACTTTCTCATATCCACATATGTCCCAACCCAAAAGTCAAACTCGGCCCCACCGAAATTTTTCATCCGGCGCCACCGAGTTCACTTGACATAGCCATTGCCACAAACCCTAATCAATTCGGTCACACCGATGGGATCTCGGTCTCACCGAGATGGGCTTGCAAACTCTTTGTTGCCTATTCTAATAATCTCGGTCTCACCGAGATATGCAATCAGTCCCACCAAGGTTGCTTGACCAACTCTCTGCTTCACTTATTACCCAAATCGGTCCCACCGAGTTTGTCTAATCAGTTAAACGGAGATGAGCCAAGACCGAGAGGGGAACGGAAAGCCGTACGACGTCACTCCGGCATGGCTCGTCTTCCCCGCAAGAGCTGACGCGGCTGTAATGTGCGAGCTCGGCTAATTTGGATGACGCTTCCCACTTGATCGGAATAATAATTGAAGAATGGGTTGGCTTGTCGGGGCCACAGCGTAGTACTAGCAGTAGTACCAGTGCCCAGCAGGCTGTCCATCTTTGGCCGGTGGATTGGACGCGTGCGGCCCAGATCGTCCGTGGGGCTCCCTGATTCCTTTCCCAAAACTGTGTGGTGCGTGATGCTTCGAGCCAAGATCACCCTAAACGGCCATCTACAATTAAGAAAATGCCGTCCTGGATCGGTTAGGCAGAGGCGGCGTGCGTGCTTTGCTTTTCGCACAGAAATGGGGTGGCAAGCGTCGCTGTCAGAAAATATTGACCGTTCTTTGTGGTTTGTGCTTAAGGGCATCTCCAATAGTTTGTATGTTAGCTTGTTGGTAAAATATGCCATGTCATCAACCAACACCTTAACATACAACAACTCCAATGGGTTGTATCTAGTTTGCCCAATAGGATGTGAGATAATAAGTGGGGTGTTCTCTCATTCTACATTGAAGCTTGTGCAATGGGTGTTGGTTCATGTACATACAACCTTCCTCTCTTTCCTCATTTATTGTATGACACATCATCAAAAATCCTATGTGACAAACTCTACCAACAACTATCTTACGACCATTGGAGATGCCCTAAGGTGGAGCCTGTATGCACGTCGCGCGGGGCAACGGCAAGGGGACACGATGGTCATTGCTGCCACAGATGGGAGTGCGATTGGATCGAGCGATGATCACCCGGCTTTGATATATTTTTTTCGCGAATACGCAAAGGCTTTGCGTATCATTACATTGATAGGAGGGAAAAAAGATGTGACGGTTATAGGGGTAGCCCCACAAGCACGTACGCGAGAGGGCGTGAATGAGAACTGCATGGGCGCATACAAAGAGATGGGGGGGTGCTAGTCGTCCCCGCAGTCGATCACTACGGAGGTAGGAGCAGGTTGTTGAGCCTTTTGCCCATCCGCATGCGTCTTCCACTACTGCAGGATGCTGCTAACGCGACACTACAATCAGAGACCCTTCAAGAAACTGTGTGCGATGCCATAATCGCAAACGGTGCTGTATGAAAACCGTCAGAAATGTGTAAAACGTTTGCGACGACGGATGCATCAAACACGATTCAGGTTTTAGTTGCATGTGCGATGAAGGGCATACAGTTCAGTTCAATGAACTGTTTGCGATGAGGAGGAACAAAAGAAACGGGCATCCAGATGGAGGCGTGTGCGATACACAGCATATGGTTCACTCAGATGAACTGTTTGTGATTAGGCAACACAAAAGAAACGATTAGCCAGATCAAAGGTGTGTGCGATATACGGCATGCGGTTCACTCGGATGAACTGTTTGCGTTGAGACATGAGAACAAAAACGGTTCAACTCAATACAATGTGTGTGATACGGGACAAACAGGTATGTAATCAGAAATGTGTCTGAAGGCCGATAAGAACACAGACGCTTGCTGCTAATAAGACGTGTGTGTTGTGCGATGGGATTGCGTATAGAACAACAACATATATATATATATATATACACACACACTTATAAGGACATGCTTGCATAAC